AGTTGCTGAAACAATGGTCGGATCCCTGTTCAATTATTGTAACGGCGACCGCACATGAATACTCTGGGCTGGTTAATATGGTGGATTTAGAGCTGATGTCCGACAATGGTTAGTTAGGCTTCAATGTATCGAAATTTGATGATTGGTTCAGATTTACAGCAATTTTCCTGATAACAGTTTCAGGAGTTGAGAATTTTGCTGACTCCATAGTTAAGAGGGGCTTGTGCACTTGGCTAACTCCCGTCCAACGCGTTTACACTCGCGAAGACCTTCTACAAGCGAAAAATGCTAAGGTTTGTAAAGTTTCAGATTATTTTCATTAGTGATGAAAGATGATTTCTTCCTTGACTCCTGTAAAGGTTAGCGTTCTCACAGTTGAGTGTGTGAGTACAGTCGTTCACGTAATCAACTTGTAATGTGTGGTGTGGGAAGTTTGTCATGTGGTGTTTATTCCAAGTAAAACAGTAAGTGAACAGTGCTTTGTAACTGTTAGCTGCAATTAAACAATATCTAGAACCCAACAACTGAGACTGATTTTGTAAAGGTGAAGAATTTTGCACTAATGATTCTGTTCGCAGTCTTTCAAACAGCCTTGAAAATTTCAGACCTCGAGTTGTGTAAACAACTGGTTTAGAATGATTATGTGCTTTTCAAGCTGACGAAAACGCTAGGTTTCTGTTACTCTCGTTTTTATTCTATTACATGGATTTGAAGAGCAATCGCGGCACTAACAACAGATGCACCCGGAAGGGCAGGCTGCGTTTGACAACGGCACAGTACAGTATTCTGTACAGTTTCATTCGCCTACCGAAGACTGGAGTCGGCATCGCAGCAGATCGTGGCACTTCACGACAGCATGACATTAATAAGAGGAGTTTTGTCATTGAGCAAGGAAAATGAGTTAGTATGCGAATCAAAGGATTACGACCAGCAATAGAAAGGTATTCCGACGAAACATGCAGTAGCCCAAGTAATTGTGGTACTCTATCGCAGGACGCGCGCGACTGTACAGCAACAACAAAGATCCCTTGTGGTCCCGTTGATCATCGATTTGCGTGAGAGGGGGGCAATAGCGTCTCCATTCGTCCATGTTGCGAGCCAGTGTAATCCAGTGGATGGCATCGCTCCAAGGACACAATGCGGGCCAATCCTTCCATTCGGAGTGAAAAAGTTTGATCGTCGGGCTGGAATCCATTTCAGTGTACATGTGACGTTCCGAGGGGTGCAGTCAGTAGCCGCAGTCGAGGTAGACCTCGTTCGTGGAAAGACTGATTCATGACATTCAGAAAAGTTAAGTAGGGGTTTTCAATGCCATTGAATGGCAGCTGTCAACAGGACTTATATTTTGTCTTTTATTTCGATCTGTTTCGATTTCCTAATTAGAGCGCTTTCTCATATCGGGGCTATTCAAAGGCTGAAATTCGGTGAGGTTAACACCCTGACCGATTCACTATCACGATCCCAGTTTCCCGTTAGCCTTGATTATGCAGTTTTGATTTTAACTGATCTGTCTCATTATGTTCGATCGTCCCTCTTCATTACCTCATTTGTACACGCATTTGAGGAAGTCTCTGCACTAAGCCGTAGCGCTGGCCTTGATTTCGTCGTTTCCAGTAAGCTCTCGCTGCCATTATGTCGGATATCGTTTCTTTAGATATGGATACTCTTCGGGAATCTGTAACTGTGAAATTACTGTAGTAATTGGAACTGAAACTAAACTACTGTTGTGCAGTGCTGTGTGTGTTTCAACTGATCCTTGCACACACAGTCGCGCGCTGTGAAAAGGAATATTCGAATTTCCAGCGTAAGGATACGGTAATTGTCGCGGCACCGTGTGCCGTGGGAAATCGGTTAGGAGGACCGAGATCCGACGTGTTGTGATCGACCCGGATGCACTTTGAACCGGCAAAGACCCGGTGTAGGCAGGCTTGGCCGTCTACATTTCGCCTGAATCACCTTGTCTAACGATTGCTATTAATATCATTGTTGTGATTTAATGGCTATTAATATACTTAATTACTACAGCAAAACTAGTAATTAATTAGAGCCAAGTATTTCTCGTCATAAATTGACATGCATGAACTCGTTTGGATGATACCTGACCTGTTCATCAAGCAAAGATCCGACCAAACATGTCAGACCCTCTTTTCTACGATTTTTTGTCACGTTTATCGATTGGTGATCTTCATTTCAGGCTTGCGGTAATGTCCCACCCATCAGTCTCAATGAGAATATTGCGGAAATCGTCGTCGGCCTCCAGACGATCACAGTTGCCTGATTGATTTAGTATTGATTTAATTACATTGTATTGTATTGATCATTGTATTGTATTGTTTTGTATGCTCCTCACTTCACTTCAATTTCCAAGGTTGCATCATTTTCTGTGACACGTTCCTGATGAGGATTGTTCCTAATGCTGAATAAATCTGGAAATTTGCAAAAATACTCTGTTTGTTATGTTTCTCCCGAGAAAAGTAAAGTGGAATTTGCGTTACCGTCTTTTTCGGGAGATCAAATGAAAATTTGAAATTCGCGGGAAGTCTCGTTAATCAGGTTCGCGCTATACAGTACAAAGACGCGATCAAATATTACCGGCCTAAATGCAGGAACCCTAAGCAGCGTCAAGGTTGCAGACGAGTAGATTCTTAGGTTTTAGCTAAGCTTTGTTTTTTTTTCTCGTACATGTTGTTTTGTAGTTGCTAGTAGTTTCTTTCCTTGAATTGGCGCTTAACCAGTTTGTTGATCTTTTTTTGCTTGAATCTTACGTTGTCATAACGTGACTCTATTCAGACTTGTCAGCTTACACAGTTTCACAGTAGTTAGGAGGGGATGCACACATGCTCAGCATATCAACATCGTACTCCATATGCCTCATCTGGCTCACCACTCAGAGGTTACCACTCGCTGCCACGTCACGATGATAATGTATAGGTTTTGATAGTAGATTTCGCTTTAAGCTCTTTAGTAGTGTTCAATCCTTGAGATCGGTCGTTCAGGTGTTCCCCACCTACTCAGCGGTTCGAGGACTAACACCCAGATGTCGCCGTCTGTCAGCGGCGGCTGGAGACTGCCGCCAAAGAAGCAGTGGTAGTGATGGAAGAAGTAGTGTTGCTGAATGACAAGTTACTATTCTCTAGTTCATTCCTCCTTCCCGACTTCATCACAGTTGATTTGTTTTTCGCAAGTCACATTTATTATTAATGCTCGAAGGTAATTATTCCGAAAGTATTTTAAGGAGTGGCTTTTTGTAATATTTGCGGTACTCCGTTGCTTTACTTTATGATCATATGTCGGCTTCATTGCTTTATTCGTTGTCTACCTAGCCTAGTATAGAATTCCTATCATTCCATGATTTCACACGGTCGAGACTGTGGAAGACGTTAATAGGCATGGGAACGTCCACGTTTTTCTCTTTCCGTTCTCCGTTTTCGTTCTACGACCTCTTTAGCTTCGCTACCCTGGCGAAGCATCACTTGAAACGGCGCTTAAAATTGACGACGACGTGCAAGAATGTTGAAAACTAACGCTTCCACACTTGTAATTTTTGAATTGGCGGATTCGCGGTACTCCTTAGAAATGGTCAGAAAAATAAGGTGCCATAAATGAAACCATCTGTCGGGAAGTGAGGATAATTTTGAGAATAGTGGCTTGCAACTAAAAAATGTGAAATGTGCAAATTTGTCAACAATTTTTAAGAGTCGCCTTCTTTCGCTTCTGGGTCGCCCGATGGCGCTTCTCATGTGGATTGTTCATTGGAATATCTAGCAGACCTCGTTAAAGAGAAGAAGGATCTAGAGATGTTCGTGGATAACTTCCAGCATGTTGAACGTCTTCTCAATGAGGGTTCGTCAGAGATGAGAATTCTTGTTCTCAGCAAAAGTAAGAGGATGACCAAATAATGCACATTGTAGTTCCTAACATCTCTATTGCTTTAACCTCGGCGTGACTGTTTGCGGTACTGATATTCTTGCGTCGTACAAGATTTTAAGTGAAACAGTTTATTAGTTCGAAGGCATAACGTTTCGAAGCAGACGTCTTCCTCAAAAGCCTTGTTTCCACCACTTTAGCGGGGACAATTCGCCGTCATCTTAGGCGACTGGCAGTGACGAATTTTTTACGCTTGAGCCGTGAAACCATGGCTTCTGAAGACGCCGACTGTGTCGAAATATTAGGCCTTTGACCTAATAACTTGGTCCACTTGGAAACCTCGTACGGCACAGGAACATCATTATCGCAAATTGTTGTATTCAATATCCTGTTAAGAATAAGTGATTCGGCTGATTCGAGGCTCATAAAACAACGTTACAAACATGTTTATGCGAAGGCGGTTATGGAACAGAAAGAAAGGCGACTGAACAACCATGGGTCAGGAGGTGCTCCGGTGATCGCCAAATTTGATCTGGGTAAAATGGCAAAGCTACCTACAATGGTAAAGGCGCTCGCACCAGATTGTCCAGGTCCGATGTTTTTACCATACCACGTAGCTCTGGCTTATTGCCACTGTTTGCTGGCTAGCTACCCTTCTTCGAATGAATCCTTTAAACCTTTTCCAAGTTCCGCTAATTCCCATGTTTTTCCCGAATTGTTTGGCACCGGGTAACCAGTGGACAGAGTATCCCCCTGCACTTTGCAAAGTGGTAATGTGCCACTTAAGAATTTTCACCATGCCATTTCTGTAGACCTGTATTCATATATGGCGACCAAGGCGCTATTCTCCATGGGGTGCTATCCATATTGTGGGTTCAAGGTCGAAAAGAAGCAAAATAACTGCTTCTCCTGTGGCGTTCCTATCAAGAATTACCAACAGTCTGCGCGAACATTTGATGGGGAGCACATATCAGTTTAAACCAATTGGTTCGTATCCAATATGTATGGATAGCTCTCGAAAGGGATAGTTACAAAATCTGGAGTTCTGATGGTCTTAGTTTATGAGTTTTCTTACGAATAAAAATAGGCTCGGCTCCATTGTGCGTTAATTAAAACCATTGCAGAGATCTCGAGAGTGCGCGGAGCGTTGTTCCAAACAGAATTTGTCACAGAACCATTTGATTTGCCGGAGCCTGTCGGGGATGTGGTCACTATCACAGAGAAAATATATGTTCCCAAAAGAGAGTATCCCGATGTGGGTTGTAAGGCATCGAGTTATCAATTATTATGTTGTAAAACCGACTGGAAAGATATAACAGTCTTCAGTACAACTTCGTTGGACGAATTCTCGGACCACGTGGTATGACTGCAAAACAGCTGGAACAGGAAACTGGTTGCAAGATAATGGTCAGAGGGAAGGGATCAATGCGCGATAAAAGAAAGGTGGATGATAAAGTGCTGGCAGGATCATTCAAAACAGTTATTAACTGGATAGAATTTAAGGAGGAAGCAAACCGAGGCAAACCAAATTGGGAACACTTGGACGACGAACTGCATGTGCTCTTACAGTGCGAAGACACTGAAAACAGAGCGAGAATAAAATTGCGCTCGGCTATGGATCATGTGAAGAAACTTCTTGTACCAGCGGTAGGTCCATATGAGTAACCAGTCGAAAAACAGGGAACAGTTATAATGTCTGTTAGTTATGGACCTCAAGGCACAGTTCACGTTAATTTGGGGATATCCAGTTTCAGACAAATAATCAAAGTGAGTGGTCGGAGTGCGAAAGCCCCGAGGGAAATGCGAAAATCGGCAGATTCTTGAAATGATAAGGCTTCAGAGATTAGTGAAATTGGGGGTCGGGCGAAAATGACGACAATAGCTGCGCAGGAGGGTTACTTGGACGAGTTGTCCAAATGTGTGCACTATTGCGTAAACCTGATTACAATAGGCTTCCTGTGTGCAACGTGAGCGACCGTGTGCGAATCTTGCAACCTATACAGTCTTTGTAATACCTGATCCGACCCTGAATCCCTTATTACACTCTCTCTAGGCCTTTTTCGACCCCACAGCATCTCTCGGCTAACCTTGGTGACCACAGGTCCATCTAAGGAGAAATCCCAGACGCAAATTTTATCGTGAACTGTGTCTTTAATAGCGCTACCTGTTTTGTTCATTTTCACTTCTTGAAATTTCAGCCCGAAGGGACCGATGAACTGAAAAGAAAGCAGCTCATGGAGTTAGCTATAATCAATGGGACATACAGACCCTTTCACAAATCTGGACTATGTAAATTTTCGACTTAGTATTATTTTTGATTGAGTTTATGATAGGGGCATTTCAGCCAACTCGAACAGAATCATAACCCCTGTACCGCTTGTCTCTCCAATACGCGCTCCTATTTTCGTTTCGCCAACAAGCAGTCCTAACAACGGAGTGGTACAGGTAGTTAATGGACCAGTATAAGTATTTTGCTCATATCTACACCAAAAAGATTTCAGGCAATTTTTTACCTTATATGTGTTTTGCAGAAACCTTCGAATCCAGGGTATATTGGAACAAACTCACAGCAGCCGTTTGACTACTCCTCATTCATGAAGTAAGTGCGAAATAGTTTTTGAACAATGTAATGAGCCTTTGAACAGCGTTGGCAAAATAGAGGGGTTAGCCTTTCAACAAAAATCCTCGGGATTCAAAACACATGTGATGACTATTTTTCTTTTACACTTTAAATCCCTAGCTCACTTGTGGAGATAGTAGAGTTGAAGGACTGAACGGATGGTAGTAATGTTTTCTCTCATATTCCTAGAGTGCATGAAAATTATTTCAGTTCCAATTTCCTTGAAACAGCACTGGCATCTTTTCAAATTGCTAACGAGCTGCATCTTCCTACATTTCCAACAGCTACATCATTAGTGAACTCCTTCCCGTCACTTTTTATGAACACGTCCGGAAATTCCGTAAACCCACAAGATAGTTCTACTTCAGCTCCAGCTCTCAGTCCAACAAAGTGTTTCTGATTACATGATGTCTAGTTTTGCACATACACATGTTTTTGAAACTTATTGTTAAAAACGATTTACTGTTTTGGTTACGACTTCAATGTTTAGTGATAGGTCGTCGTTGTGTCGTTCATCTCACGATTACTGTAGATTGTTTCGGCACAATGTCGATTAACACTCGTTCCAAATTCTAAGATTTGAAATTCTCACTAAGTACTTTACCTCACATGTTTAACTTTGTTCATTATTACTTTTTGGTTTTTAATAGTTTTCTTTCTTGTCGCAGATGTAACTTACGTCTTTACGAAGTTCTCTGCCGCTTGACCTTTCTTGTGAATCATTGTTATATAGTTCCTGTTACTGTTCATATTTTCAAAGTTTATTTGCGTTTCTTGTTTTGTTGTTTTTATCCTTTCATTGATCCATGGTGCAAAACGCCAACACTTCGCTTTTTCAACGTCGTCGTAAGTGATGGATAATCTCCTTGTCTATTTTAGCAGCCTTTCGTACTCGTTGCAGCTATGAAAGGATATGTTCAGAGTAGTTAGTGTAGTGTCCTTCCATCACCATCTTTGTAAGTCAATGTTGAACTGTAAATTGTCAGTCGAAGTGTCATTTCCATGGTTAATGAAATGGTTTTTGGAAATCAAATTTAAACACAAATACCGCTGATTTCAACATCCAAACTAAAGACTGAAAGAAAAACGTATTGCTTATTGAAAAATAACGTGGGATGAAAGACACGCTCGTAAAGGATAGTATTCTAATAAACCTCGTAAACCCTAATATCCCACTAACAGAAAATGGAGGTAAATATTGAATAATGGACAACTAAGCAGACAAATGTGATAAAAACCATACGAAGACAGTAAATAGACGGTGTATGTTCCTTGAAAACCCTTCCCGTTACCAAATAAATAGCGATACTAAATGCTGAGCAGATTGAACAGTGATATGTCTCATGAATACTGTGCCTATACCCCACCGTCAGTCTATACAATTTTTACTGCACTACCTTTTTTCCAGCGGAATCCATATATACTACCCTCCTCTAACGCAAGAACTGGGAAATGATGATACCCTTTCGTTGGCAAAGGTGGGCCACGTGATCCAAGAATCACGTTTCTATCAGATGATCGGTAAAGGCGCATGTCCATGTGCGAAGCATCCTATAAAACATCTGCATTGTGAGAAGTGAAAACTACAAAGAGATAAGAAATACAGGTAATCGAGCCCAAAACAGGAATGAGACACGTTTGATTTCACAAGGAGTAAGGCCAAGACGATAGAAGGAAGAATCAACGAGTAGGCTACAGAATCGCAATGTTGGGCTTGTATATGTAGTAATATTCAGTTTGCAAGAAGAAGTACCCGTTGACTATAACTCATCATTCAATCAATAGGCTCACGAAGTACTGTTTTATTGAATATGTGCCACGGATCTCCCTCACTAAGCGTTTCATTCGACCAAAGGATCTTCAGCCGGTTGGTGACGCTACGCCACCCCAGGTGGCGGAAAGGAGAATGAATCGCAAACCAAAACTTACCGGAACCCATCCAGAGATGCATATCCATGCATACGTGTTTGGAGTCGGCGAGTGCTGTTACTATCCTACACATCGCCTTCACAGAGAAAACACTGTTCACTTCGAGAGTTCCTGACTGCCTACCCGAAGGAGCAATGGAGCCACAACACCACACAGGGAGGATGATTGCAGAAGGTTGTTCTCTCCGCTACGGCGGCAATGTTAATAAGAGAACCGTTCTGGAGTTTGTTCGAATGACATTGGTGTAGTTGTCAGATTACTTTGGCATGTGGTGATGCTGCGAAGACGGTTGAGATTTTTGCAGAGCACAACACTCCACGAGTCTCATACCAGGCTATAACGTGTGGGCTGGACAAATTTCTGGCACTACGCCAGAATTCGAATAAGCTCCCGAGCGATTCTCTTATTAATATCGTCGCAGTAGCCGAGAGATCGAATTTGAGCAATCATCCTCCCTTCTGTGCTGTTGTGGCTGCATTACTCCTTCCGCTGCCTGCAACACCAACACAGGGAGAGGATCTTGTCAGCCATGCGACTGTCATTAGTTTATTCGCTAACTTTCAACCTGGAGATACTCTGCTCGATGACGACCCGCTCTCCGAACGAATAATTGATGTCGGCGATGACCGAATTCTCAT